GAGAGGTAGTGGAGTCTCCTTCGCTGGAGATATTCAAAACCCGCCTGGATGTGATCCTGGGCAATATGCTGTAGAGGCCCCTGCTTGAGCAGGGAGGTTGGACTAGATGATCTCCAGAGGTCCCTTCCAACCTCAACCATTCTGTGATTCTGTGATTCTGTGATAGTAGAAAAAAATGTTTCAAACAAAAGAAGCAACTGAGAGACGATAGTGCTTCAGCAATTACAGTTTAGGACTGAAGAAATTGTAAGCTTAGTATTTGATGTGGTAACTACACGCATTAATTGAAATAAATTACATTAGTGACACTAAAAATAAATGAATAGTTTGTTCAATAGGTAACTTCCTATCCTAGAATCAAATATTAAGACAGTACTTTTTTTTTTATATAGCAGTATCTCTATGGCACTATTTGTAACTAAGAGCAACAGTTGAAGATGATAGCACCTGAACGTACAATAAAGATGTCATTCACCAAAAACTAGCTAAAAATATCACTTAAATGATAAATAAATAAATAAAACTTTAATCACCTTTACAGTCCTTAAAAAAAAAAAAAGAAACCCACTCCAGCTGGAAATTGCAACTGCTGGTGCAAAACTTGCACAGGTTATAAAAGCTGGTCCATTGTTAGTCCTTGGCAAAGCTACATTGTTGCCTTATCTCAGTCACCAATTAGACACCCTCATCCAAATGTAGTCATCAGCAAATAGCATGTATTTCTAACCATCTAAACTTGGATAGTCAGTTCCTGTGTCTTTCATCACCATTAAAACCTGCTAACGTTTGTATAGATCATACTTTCCTAATGTACTTTGCCTGAGGGATATAAGTAGTCCATCATGACATGTCAAAAAAAACTATGTACACTTTAGTACAGGATTTTTTAATACACAGGATCAAGTATTCAAGATTAATCAAGCCTCTTTTTGTGTGCAAAGGAAACTTTTGTAATCAAATAAATATTTACTTAAAGCATGTTTTGTGCACACTTGATGCGTCTTGACTTCCTTCATGCACTATTTAGTATCTCAACTGCCAGAGTTACAAAACAAGTAAAACAAGTCTTGACTATTACACAACATGCCCAATTTAATGTAGCTAAAGACTTCAATGAAATTAACTTGCAGCCACTCATTACTATTGAAAGGATTTATTAAACAATCCCAAGAGCTGCCACAATTTTCAATAGAGTGCTCCACTTTGAAGTAGGTGATCAAATGTCACAACTGCTAGTAGTTATATCATGGATTCACCTTGCTGCTAAACAAAGCAGGAAAACATTACAGTTTGATGTCCTTGATGCATAGCAGCAGTTTGATACAGCACAGTAGTGTGACTTGCTCCATTTAAATGAGAACGCTGTTGATCTGCCAGAGAGCCCATAAGCTAAAGCCACACAAGAAAGGTAAAAACAGGCAGATGTGAAATTGTTGACTCAAAAACTCTTGGAGTTTTTGACATGTAGAGGTATGAAATCCAAAGAAAGAGTTGGGCAATTGGGAGTCAGTGATGGCGAGAAAGAGCTAATTCCAAGGAGCAACACAAGGCAGCCCTTCTTCATCTGATATTGCCCAGCCAGGAAAGGCTCAGTGGTTCTCTACAAGTAGGGAGATGAGTATATTCATGCTTACTATCACTTTAGTCCTTACTATCTTCTGTGTGTATTAGCCAGTAAGGAACCGCTGTCCATTCATCAGCTGGGTGTTGCTGTTTGCGTGATCTTTTTGCACATGCCGAAAGATGTCCAGATAAGACTGACCCAGTAGAAAGAGGACTGCAAGAGGTGCTGACAGTACCGCTCCAATCCTGGTGACTAGGGTAACTCACCAAGGTAATAACTTTTCTGGGGCTGTTGCACTGCCTGGACAGACCAACTGTACATTCCCTGGCAATTCGCCTTTACCCCCATTGAAAGTGAAACTGCAAAATTAAAGTGGAGCTGTTCTGACTGAAGTATATCTGCAGCAGGGCTGTGGCACACCGAACAAGGGGAGGACTCCACAGCATTACTATCTCATTACCTCTGTGACTCACTTTATAACATATATTTTGAAGATGTTTAAAGTGATTGTGACAATTTCGGGAATGTTTTGCCATCTATTATACTAAGACCAATTCTCAGGCCTCAGAAACAAAGATCATTTCAGTTACTTTAACAAAGAGACAGCTAAGAACATCATCTCTGAATATTTTGTATTTCTTTTGTGAACTAGGACTACATTTAATTGCCTTCTTTATTTGGGCAAAAAAAGATCTGAGAATTTACTGTTAGCTTAAAGTTTTAACATTCTAATCAAAGTACAACAATTTGTAGTTTAATTACTACAATAGTAACTTTTTTTTTTTGTTTCCCAGGTCGACTATCTTTGCCTGTTAGCTTTCAGTTAAAATAATAAGATATGGTCACTGGGGCTGAGGGGCTCCTATGTAAGTATTTCTTAGGGACTGTATAGATTTGTTACACTTTTCCCACATGCAGTTTTCACAGAGCTAGGCTAAAATCTAGCCAATAGTCTAGTGAGCATTAGACAATTGTTGTGACACCTAACACAAGCGAAAATTGACTCAGATCAGCACAAACCCAGACAAGTCCTGAGGCCTACATTGGGGTATTAATACAGAACATATGGCCTTTTATTAGTAACTGAAAGGCTATACTCATTGGAACTACAATGCTACAGTGCACAAATATCACAGATGGATGAACAAACTCTCCACTATCTATAAAATATCCATTTAGCTGCCAGTTTAGGGAAACAAAAAACAGAATTTGTGATTAGAGTAAATAGCAGTGTCAAAGAGAACAAGAAATTGGCCTTGTGTTACATCAGGTAAGCAAGTTTTCTCAATAACCTGAACTGTCTGGCAGCTGAGATGACTTAGTCTTAGACAGAGCCATACTTTTAAACTGAATTTAAGCTTTTTTATTATTATTATTATCCTGATGCATTTCCTTTACTGTTTCTTCATTAGTGCCACCATTCTGACATTGCTGCTGCAACAGAGATCCTTCCTATCTGTTTTTTTGCAGTCATCACAGCATGGTCTCACGGTCATAAACTATATTGGAGACAGAGGATGAACACACTGTACTGGGCACAATAATTCCTGTGTGCAGGCTGGATATGAGTAGACTTGTCCTTGCTTCTGTTTCCAGTCTCACTAATGTAGATACTAATCTTCTTGCAGAGCTCTCTCACACATATAAGAGCCAGTGAGCTGGTCTGCTGAGGCCTGCCTGCCATGTCATCCTACTGACAAACAGCTCTGTCGGTTTATGACCCTAAAACCATGCATTAAATAAGCAAAAGCCACAAAGAGACTGAATTCATGCAAACAAACAGGGTTTCAAATAAAGGTCAAGGTGGCCTCAGCAAGAGAAAGGCAGGCTAGCTAAACAAAGGTCCAGCAGCCACCTCAAGTCTGGCAGAATGATGGGAAGCAAAAGGCATGAGCAGCAGTTAAGAAAGAAAAGTTTAGGAAAAGCAACATCTGCCCTGAAAGCTGGAAATCCCCAAGGAGCCAGGAGTGGTAGCTAGAATGGGAAGGAGTTGGCATGATTTTCTGAGGGCTCAGGTCACTCAGATGCGACTCATTCTATATCTAGCATGACATTTCTTTCCTCCCATCTTAGTAACACTGCAGATTTAGGTCAATACCTAAGCAAGGCTTCGTATGAACAAATTACATTATTGTAATTATATTATGTAGGAAAGAGCAATGCCATACACCCCTCAAAGTATGGGTAGGGGAAATAAGCCAAGGCAGGATGCTTCCTTCCCGGTAAGAGCAGGGGAATGCAGAGCTGCTCCACCACTTGGCCAAACACCTATTGTTTTTGGTAAGTGAAGACAAGAAGATAATATATAGAGTTATTACAAAGGTCAACAGGAGTAGGACTGAAAGGTAAACAAGGAACTACAAAGTCAATTGAAGCTGAAGCAGATAGTAAATATAGGCTCAGAATGCAACTTGAAGTAACAATGGCTACTCGAAAAAGACATATCCTGTTTGGAAATATGAAATAATAAGGCAGAGCAGAGAAACATAATTGGCACTTGTGGCAAAAATCTTGGCATGAGGACCTCCCCTCAGACATACAGAAGATGTTACTGATATTTTATCCACAGCAGAAAAGGTTTGTTCATTGTTGTTCAAGTGTCTCCCTGGATCTCTTCTCTTGACTCGTGGTCTCTTCAGTATTGCCTCTGATCCTCTTCCAGCCCTCTCTGCTCCAAACTTTCTTCAAGTAGCTGATCTATCTGTTCAATTTTCTTCCTGGCATGTGATTCAGTAAGATCCACCTCTTGGGACTTTTCTATGACTCAAAATGTGCTTACTTTTCTATCCAGGATTCTTCCTTAGTCCCATAATGCAGAGAAGAAAATAATTAGGAAAGAGTAAATAAATTGAATCACCTGAATATCTGCTATGATTCCAAGGATTTCTGGAGAGCAGCACAATCCAATCATTGCATCCAGTCTTGGTCTGTGCAATGTTTTGGCTCAAAGGTAAGAACTACCTGGATAGTTTAGTGACCTAGAGCACATGATCAACAAGGAGAGGTTAAAGGAACGGGGCATGTTTCACCTGAAGAAGAAAAAGCAAAGGGTGATGTAATAGCAGCTTAGAACTGCTTGAAGGGCAGTAGCAAAGATGGCAGAGGCAAATGGTTGGTGGCAGGGGCAGGAAATATAGTAGCATAAACTGTCACAAATTGCAGTTTGGGAGGTTCAGGTTGAAATTTAGGAAAAACTTCTTCCCGTAATGGTAGTGTAGCCCTGGGACAGTCACCAGAGAGATCATGGAGTGTTTCAAGATTCAGCCAGGTAAAGTCACAGTTAACCTGATTTGGAGTTAACAATAGCAGTGGTTTGACCAGAGTTTTGACTAGAAACCACCAAAAGTCCTTTACAACCAACTCTTCTACGACTCTGTGTAACCACTAAACTCAGCCTAAATTTATGCGTCCCTTTAGCCTTTAGCTGTACTTTTTAAACTCAGATTTCCTGAGTTTGTCTCAAACTATCAGATAGCCCGTGTAGCTTCCCTTGTTCCCCATGAGTCCAGAGGTTCATCCTGGATATCCTCTAGGGTTAAGACCAGTTATATCATTGCCATTGACTGTGAAGGTAGCCCTATAGGTCTTACTCAGCCTGCTTTTCCGCAGGACTGCACCAGTGAAAACATTTCTTTAAAGGAGGTCTGCTCCCTGAAAGGAATGAACTGCAAGCTAGTTGAAAGGTTTTATTTATTTATCTATTTATTTTCCTGAAAAGAAGCATTATTTTAGTCTGTCTTACAACAGAGTGGCATTCCAGCTAGTGTTAAGCAGACTCCTTGCCAGCCCTATCTCTCTGGAGTCCATGTGGATTTTCTGCTTCCTGCTTCACCCTCTTACTTGTGTATGCTGTGTCTTTCTTGGGACAGTCTCTCGCACTCACTCTAATCCTGAAGTTCTCATTGTTGCAAGTGGTTTCTGGTCCTTTAGGGTTTACAGCATCTTCACTAACATGGCCCCATCCAGTTCCTAAGAGACCCTTCCATACCACCAGTACATGGAGACTGAACATTTCACTGTCTCCCAGATCAGTCAAGAGTTTATCTGTATGCTCTCCTTTCCTAAACAGCATTTAAGAAGTGGAGAAACAAGCACAAATAGAGATCAATCCTGCATTTCCCAAGGACTCTTCCCAGTACACTGCTTGTTCAGGCGCTAGTTCTGCCAGGAGGATGGCAGTTTTAGAGGGATGCCAGAAATATTTTGTTTTTTGCTAAGACAACAATAGAGGACTAAAGATTCAGTGCTTTCTTGCACAGGTAATTCTTCCTTAATAAGTTGATGGGCAGAAAAGTGCAGGAGGAGGGAAGAAGCACAGGGAAATGCAAGGTATAGGAGGAGGTCAGTGCAGGCAGAAAGGGAGGCCAGTAAAGGGGAGGAGTCGTAGCACAGCAATATTTGTCATCTACATCCCGTTTTGGTCTTTGCTGCCTTCTCTCCTGCCCTCCCAACCAGTCACTGACTCTAAGCTCTTTGTCTTTCTAACAGGGAGAATCTTCCTGTTCTACCCTCCCAATCACACAGGTCCCTGACCTTCAAGAACAGAACGGTATAAGGTCTCTGCTGCTATCATGCGACTGCCTGGAAACCTCTTTCTCACACCTGGGCGTACCTGCAGTAGGAGTCTGACTGCCTTTGCTGGAACCAGGATGGAAATTGTGTTCTTCCTCTTGGCATGGGTTTGGGGTAAGTTTTCTCTGCTCCTGAAGAACAGGGTTATAGATATATTCTGATAAATGGAGCTCATGATGGATTGACTCCTCTCATATCTTTAGTCCTTGCAAGGAAAAGGGTTTCATATTTGGAATGGGTTTGTGGTCATCTAACTGAAGATGCAGGAAGCTTGAGTTTTACTCTCAGTGCTGGAAATGACCTCTCTGAAGCAACAGAAGAAAGTAGTAGATTAGCACTTGTCTTCTGAAGCTCACCTGGAGACTTAAAGGCATTATTTATGCAAATATGCAGAGACAAACCCTGGAAACAAACAAATGTTAGCATGAAAATGAAGCCCTTTTTGACTGAGCTCTGAAATTCAGAATGCAATCTTGCTTCCCCTTGCCCCCAGACTCCCAATCTGGATTTGATCTAGGACCCAAGAATGTATAAGCACAGTAGACCTCCACTGCCTAGCTGACAAAGGCAGTGCTTAGTGCAGCTGCATTTATTTCCTGCAAATCAGCATAGTCAGATAACAACGAAAAAGTAGCAAAAGAATTGGCTAAGGAATATCCTGAGACACTGAGGTTGCTTTTCAACAAAACCTGGCACAAGTTAAGGCTGCTCCAAGGTCTGAGATAGAGTAAAGATTGTGCCAGAATTGCAAATGGGTAGAGGGTAATATGCGAACTTAAAGCTTTTTAGAAAAATGTCAGTGCTTTGCCACAGCATAGAAGAGTGGATCTGGCAAGACTTAGGATGCAGTCCTTGATGTAAAGCCTCTGATAAATGCATATAAAGGCTGTGGAGAGCAGTACCCAGGACCAAAGATGTAGACCTGGTTTAGGTATCTGAGAGGATCTTTCTGAATAAGCAGTGAGCTTAGGAATCTGCTTCCAGGCTTGACTACTGATGTTAGCCTAGATTTCCTTTATATCCATAAAGAGAAATAGACCATTCTGTATCTCAAGTCCTTCTCCTTCATTAGAGGATGAATGTTGACTCAAAATTTCCTTTCCTCTGATTTGTAAAGAAGTGCAGTTGTTTGGTACAGACAACACTGCAACTGTCAGCAGCTGGATAGATGAATCCTACTCTATGCAGCCTAGGCAGCTGCTTCAATGTAAGTACCCAGAACCACTTGAGTTGCCCTAGTTTATCTCTCTTGGACTCAAGCTACTGCACTGGACAGTGTAAAGTCTACAAATGGCACCAGAAGACTACATTCAGACAAATTAGCTGTGCTCCACATGGCCCTAGACCAGTAAGCTCTGGATAGCAGAAGGTCTGACAAGCATTTTTGGATGAGGACATGGAAATACTTACTGCCTGACCCTACTTTGTCCCCAGAGAAGTGACCTGAGTGTTTCCTTCAATAATTTACACAACTGAGGGACAGTGACAGACTCAGGAGAAACATTCATTGTCTTGTTCATGGGGCAAGGAGGTATGATATAGGACCCAAGATGCTGCAGTAGCTCATACTGGATGAAGACACTAGCTCTCAGACCTTCATCTTCTTGGGGAGTATAATCTGAGGTTTTTCTCTGGACTTCCTGCCAGTGTGCATGGTATAACCTAGGGTTTCCATGGTGTAGGGCTGTCACACACCATGTCAGAGAGTGTGTTGGAAATGATAGGCTTTCACTCAAGGTTTTGAATATCTGGCATTCTTCTGGGAGGGATGCATGAAAGAATCTGGTAATAAGGACAGCTCTGGGCAATGAAGAAGAGGAGCTAGCAGCTGCTCATAGGGATGTGGAGATGCATTAGAGCTCCTAACACCATCTGTGCAATAAATTTGCTCCACTAATGAGGCTGTGAACTGTTCTCATAATGTTCCTGGTGAAAATGCCAGTGATTTCAGCAATCATTCTTCAGCCAAATCCAAAATGGCATTTTCTGTGCAAGAGTAAGTGGTTACATTCTCAGCCATCAGCCAAGATATGGCTCATGACAATTTTCCTGACTATTTTTCACCTTGGATGGTTTTGTGATTCAGGTGTTGCCAACTCAGCTCCAATCAGACTAGTGAATGGCTCCAATCGCTGTGCGGGGCGACTCGAGGTGCTTTGGAAACAGCAGTGGGGAACCGTGTGTGATGACAGCTGGGATCTATCCGATGCCATGGTTGTATGCAAGCAGCTAGGCTGTGGGGAAGCACTGTCAGCCCCTGGCTCAGCTTATTTTGGTCAAGGAATTGATCATATCTGGCTGGATGACATGAACTGCACAGGGACAGAAGTTGACCTCTCCGCATGCAGGACCAGACCTTGGGGAGAGCATAACTGCAATCATGGAGAGGATGCAGGCGTTGTGTGCTCAGGTAACTTGCAGCTGCCTCACTTCCCATGTGACCCCAAGAGGCTGTGCTCTGGAGGGGGAACATTTTAAGCCTGATGGCTATTTTTTTTTTTTCAGTCAAAGGTACCCACAGGGCTTGGGATGGAGATGACTGCTTCAGGCACTGACCTGTACTGTGATTTGCCAAGGACAACATGAGGTCTAGCTCAGTTCCATTGTCAGTTATACACTGTGTGGGATGGTGGTGTTCATGCTCATTCTGTTACTGAGGCAGAACAGAGATTTGTTTTCTTTCCTCATCCAAGCTATTCTTGCCCCTTATGGATTCGCCATACAGTAGATGAGCAGAGATTCTTAAAGGAGCTCCATCTGGATGCACATGCTGTCCATCCACATGTTTCACAGCTGAAATGTGGCAGGGAAGCTGAGCATTTATGTGACCTCTTTATATTTGTCTTTTATGACAATATTCTCTCCTGGCAGAAGCATTTATTCTCCAGACTGGGACAGGGATGAGCGATTCAACTGTGGACCATTTATCTGTGTGCTAGTCCTAACCTGGATGTCACAGCATGATGTTAATGAATGCTAAGCTCCGGGAGCTGGGTGGGGAAGGCTAGAAGGTGTACTCTACCCCTCTACTTTGTCATTAACTATGGAGTAAAGGATACGCAAGTGAGCCATGGGCCTCAAGAGGTTGGAAAAGAACTGGGGGGGGGGGGGGGGGGGCTATCATTGCCCTCTTTCAGGTCAGTATGTCCCAAAGCCTCTGTCCTGGTCAGTATTGAACAACGGATGAAGTTTCCAAGCTCACATCTCCCTAGATGGATCTGGAGTGGTATTCAGTTCCAGATTAATACCTAATATGTGTGTGTTTAAATGTAAGTTCCATCATTTGGGCTGGATGTTTTCATGTTACAGGCAAGAGATCTAGCATAGAGTCAGCTCCCTACAGTGAAGGTGCCCACTGCCATTGGAGATGCCCTGGGGCATCTGACATAACCATTTGAGTATAACAGATGAGGTACAGTCCCTAAGGGAGCCCCTACAGGGCAGCAGCTGAAGGCTAGGGGCAAAACCTAGAGAATCTCAAATGGTGGCAAACATCTGTTTGGGCAACTGAATCAAACCCCAATATTTGGCCAGCTGAGCAGCAATATAGATACTATCGATTCCAGAATTTTAACAACCAGATCACATGGAGGCACTGAGGTAAATAAGACACATGGGTGTCTTAACCTGTAGTGAGTGACCCTTGGAGCCACATCTCAATGGGAACTGCACAAGCCTGTTTCATCAGGGTTTTCCAAACCATCCAACCATCCTATTTACCTGTTTAATTCTGAGCTAGGAAAACATGGAGGAAAAAACTCAGAACTTGATCCTCAACAGCCTTCACCTTGTCACATCCTGGATAGCACTAGCGAAGTTTTTTCCTTTCCTTTGGTCTTTAGGGGACCTTTTCATGTATAATTCCTGACACCTCCTCCCCGCCTCTTTTTTTTTCTGTTTAATGCAGAAATTAAACAAGCAGCTCAACTCCGATTAGTGAATGGTCCAAGTCGCTGCGCTGGGAGAGTGGAAGTGCTTTACGACCAGCAATGGGGAACTGTATGTGATGACAACTGGGATATAATCAACGCTGAAGTTGTATGCCGACAGTTGAGCTGTGGGACAGCTCTATCAGCTCCTTCCTCAGCTTATTTTGGGCAAGGATCTGACCCCATTTGGCTTGATGATGTGAACTGCAGAGGGACTGAAGCTGCCCTCTCCGAATGCAGTGCAAGGCCTTGGGGAGCCCATAACTGTAGGCATGGAGAAGACGCTGGTGTTGTGTGCTCAGGTAACTTCCATCCTGCATTGCAGAAGTGAGTTTTTGTGGGGTGTGGAGCTGGAGATGCTTTAGGAGGCCCTCTTCACTTTGGAGCAGTGCTGATCTCGACACCCAAGAGAATTGAAAGGCAAAAATCATGCTATAGATTGACTGAGCCCTAAAGATCTTGTCTTTCTTCCTAGTTAAAATATTCTTCTCCTAGCATAGTACTGCCAGCAGTAAAAGTGTTGGCATACAGTGGCATTTCCCATATGAGCTACTGGTGAAGCCAGTACTGCTGCAGGAATTATTTATAGGGCTACATGCTGCAGTACATGGCCTGTACATCCTCATAGGACATCCTCTCTCACTGCAAAAAGCAGTGGCTTCACCAGCCCCATCCCCTTATGTCAATAGACACAATTCATTCCCAAGTTCCCAAAAGCCTTACATTAAAGCTAGGTTCTTCCCATGGCTCATATTGTCCCTCAGAATGTAGTAGCATCAAGTCTTCCCACATAGCTGGAACCCAAAGGCTATACCTCCAAGTCTCCCTTCACAACCTCCAAAACCACTCACTCCTTCACAATTCACAGGTTTTCTGGTCAGGCAGGAGGTGGCATATGCCATGCCTGGTTTACCACTATGCATGTGCTGGTGGACCAATTAATATGAATATGTTGATAGCTTGACCAACACTGCTTCGTGGAAGAAGAGCTGAGTTCCACCTGCCTTTCCTGTAATGAGGCACTAATTAGAGTCTTTTGTCTCTAACCACCTATAGAATTTCACAAAGTTTGAAGGAACTTATGTTTCTCCATATAGTATGTTGGGAAATCCACATTTTATTCATTGACCTACGGATAATAACAACTCTAGTATGAGACTGAGAAGCAGATAGTGTGAGAATGATTCTGGCACCTCTAGATATCCAGCACCCTTTGACACACTTTAAAGTGCATGAAACATCTACAAGGTTCTGGCAGATATGATGTAAGTCATACAGCAGACCAGAAATCCCTTGTAATGGCAGATGGAAGCTGGGCCAGATATGCTACAGCATCTTAAATTACGCTGGACATCCACATTTAAACAAGACTAGGGCTTGCCCTCTGCCATCCCAAGTATATTTTAGCTTGTGCAATCCATTCCTGAGCAGCTGCCATTGCGGCTAATTCCTTATGCAATGTTTTCCCATATCAAAACCAAAAGAGCACAAGGCCCTAAGTGGGAGACACTACACGCATTGCTTAGTGGAGAATAGAGGTGCCAGATTCTGTGCATTGGATACTTCCCTGAACTTTCTTTTCCTTGTAGGCTTTGCACAACCTGCTCCGCTCCGACTAGTGGATGGCTTGACCCGCTGCTCTGGGAGAGTTGAGGTGTTTTATGGTCAGCGCTGGGGAACTGTATGTGATGATGGCTGGGACATGGCTGAGGCAGAAGTGGTGTGCAGGCAACTGGGCTGTGGGAAAGCCTTGTCAGCCCCAGGTAGAGCTCATTTTGGGCAAGGATCTAACCCCATCTGGCTGGATGATGTCCAATGCACAGGGACAGAAGCTGCTCTGTCCAAATGCAGAGCCACTCCTTGGGGAAGTCATAACTGCAATCATGGAGAAGACGCAGGTGTTGTGTGTGCAGGTACCTTTCACTCACAGCAATATCTGGCCATGCCACCCAAATGCAATCCAGGAGTGAGCAGCATAGTGCTCTACCCTGTCAGCACAGATAAAATACAGAGGGAAACTCAGAGGAATAATGCCTTCATTATTTCTCAATGCAGGATTTGCTGAGCTGCTTCCAGTCCGAATGGTGAATGGTTCAAATTCTTGCTCTGGGAGAGTCGAGGTGTTTCATGATCAGCAGTGGGGAACCATCTGTGATGACAGCTGGGATTTAATAGATGCTCAAGTGGTGTGTCAGCAGCTGGGCTGTGGCACAGCAGTCTCAGCCCCTGGCTCTGCTCGATTTGGACAAGGGACTGGGCAGATTTGGCTGGATGATGTGAACTGTGCAGGGGCTGAAACTGCCCTCTCTGATTGCCGGGCACGGCCTTGGGGAGACCACAACTGTAACCATGGAGAAGATGCTGGTGTGGAGTGCTCAGGTGCTGTTAATACATGCCACGTAATGTGGGGTGCAACGGAGGGCTGTGTTTGTGGGAGGGGTGCTGGTGTTCGTGGGGCATGTACTGTTCCCTCAGGGCCAGGAGAATGTTGTGCTGATCATGCTACTCCTGGGTGAGACACAAGAGGAGTGGTGCATGGGTGGCAAGTCTATTCTTCCCTCCCCTCTGACCCCAGGACTCAAGAGAATCCCTGGGTGATATGAGCTGTGGAAGAGGCCTGGGGCACAATATCACCCCTGTTCCCAGAACAGCCTTGGGGACATGCTCCAGGAAGCAACCTGAAGTTATTGTGGGGATTAAGATGCTGCTGAATTTGATGGCCAGTCCTGATGGACAGGTTTGCAGAACCTCAGGAGTGGGGACCCAGGACTCTCAAAGACACTGTTCCCCCCTGCACTCTGTGTTCCCCATACATTTCAATGCTCTACTGAGCCACCCTGCTTAGGGAGTAAACCTGGGTGCTTGGCTATGGTCGCTCTTTAGGTGAGGAGCTGAATCAAGGTCCCATTCTAGGGTTAACAGTGTGTTCTGCGGGGACATAAGGGTGTGGGATGAAGTTTTGAGGCCATAGACCTCCAGTGCTATCTTACACACTGAGAAGTCAAGTCTTGTGTGGCGCCAGACGCCTGGGAGGAGCCATGTTTCACCCCTCCACAAAGCTCTGCGAAGCATGAGAAGCATGCGAAGCTCCCTGAGCATTTTTACTGTTGCTTTGTGTTTTGGTCCAGGCATTGCAAAACCAGCTCCTGTCCGGCTTGTGAATGGCCCAAGTCACTGCGCTGGGAGAGTCGAGGTGTTTCGGGATCAGCAGTGGGGAACTGTGTGTGATGATGGCTGGGATCTAGCTGAAGCCAGCGTTGTGTGCAGGCAGCTGGGCTGTGGGAAGGCACAGTCAGCCCCTGGCTCAGCTCATTTTGGACAAGGCCCTGACCCCATCTGGCTGGATGACGTGGATTGTTTGGGGAGCGAAGCTGCCCTCTCAGAGTGTAGGGCCCGGTCTTGGGGATCCCATAACTGCAATCATGGAGAAGACGCTGGTGTGGTGTGCTCAGGTAATCCCCATCTATGTCTCGGTCTCCATGACAGAAAAGGTTTTCTGTTTCCAAGAGAGATAAGCATGTAACAGCATGTAACCCCAGCAGCAGGCTCTGTGTCCTGATGAAGTGTCCTGAACGCCTGTTGTGAGCTCTCTCTCTCTGCCTGTGCAGTAGAGACCTATTACAGATTCTGTGATTCCTCTTTTTGTTTGTCGTGTAACTGTACAGCTGTCCTTGCAAATAGAAGCTGTATGGCTTCCTCGTCTTGGATTTCTAACGTATTCTGAAGAATATGGTATGTGGTCTATTGTCCCCTTAGCTTTGAATGCCAGAACTTGGGAAAATATGCCACCATTAGACAACTTGGAAAATGCATAAATGCCACATTCTTGATGCCATTAGACCCCCTCACTGGGATGTTCTAGATAGTATGTTTTCTTTAATCAGAGTAATGGGAACTTACCAATGTATATCCTTGACCTTTGTCTTTTCTTCAGATATACCAAGAGTAGCTCCACTCCGGTTAATGAATGGGCCAAATCGTTGCAGCGGGAGAGTTGAAGTCTTTTACGGCCAGCAGTGGGGAACCATATGTGATGATGGCTGGGATATAGCTGATGCTGAAGTTGTTTGCCAACAGCTGGGCTGTGGAAAAGCATTATCCACTCAAGACACTGCTTATTTTGGAGAAGGATCTGACCCTATCTGGCTGGATGATGTGAACTGCACAGGGACTGAAACAGTCCTTTCCAAATGCCAGACCAATCTATGGGGTACCCATAATTGTAGGCATGGAGAAGATGCTGGTGTTGTGTGCTTGGGTAAGTCTCACTTATGTCACCATCAGTTTGTGGCATATGGAAGGATGCTGGAAATACCCTTGGATGTCCTTTTCCCCAGTCTTATGACACTAAAACCACAGTACTGTACAGAGAAAGTTCTTCAAACAGGGATATGGGTGAATCTATCAATGTTCTTCTCTCCTTGTCATTCAAAATCTAATTGTAACACTGCGGTCCTGCAGTCTACCATGCTACTGGTGCAGAACAATTCAAATTTGAGACTCTTTCCCATGTGAGCTACTGGTAAACCTGATGGTATAGCAGGACTGGTGTGATTCAACCTCTTACAGAGAACGACACACTGAATCACTTGGGCTCTTCTGGTGCCGTCAGTGATAACCCAAATGAACTTATCACACTTGAGAAATTAAGATGCTTTCTCCATTTTCTCTCTGTCCTCTTCTTTTCCAGACAAGAATATTACAGAGACTTGCAGAAACCCACTTAATCTACCTCTCCTCCTTCCCTATCTTGAATACAACCAAATTCATGAGACCACCTTTCACCAATGTGTTTTCCAATGTCTTCCCCGAAACCTCCACTGTTAAGACAATTTCCTCAAAGTATTTTTCAGCTTCTCCTCATTCCTATCATTCTTCTCTGGTTTCTCCTTAACTGTTTTGCATATTTCTTCCACTCTGTTATGCCAGCTAAGGCTTTGCCAGTGCTGAGTGCCTCTGGAGGCTTGATTTGAATATCTTATAGGCAGCACTTCTGTTTATACGTGTCAGTGTCTTTCTCAGAATAGCAAGACACTTTTTGAGTATTCCTCCCAATCCATTATATCCCTTAAACCCCTTTGTCATGTAATTAATTCTTTTTCATCCTCTGTGCAATTGGTTTTACCTTTCAAACATGGTAAACTTTTGCCTTGCCCTTACTGGAGACAATCTGTTTTTCTTTGGTGACTTGCACACATCTTGAAAAGACATGGAAGATTCATTGTCTAAACATAGGTGCCTATGACTGCATTAAACATACTGGTCACCCTTTGCAGCCAGTGAAGACTGAGTCAGTATAGTCCAGGGCAAGATTTGACCCATCCAGAGGCAGATGTCTAAAGGAGATAAAAGGAATTGCAGCCCAGCAATGCTTATTAACTGTAAAGGTAACAGAGGGTCCTTAGCTGATTTCCAGGATTGGCCTTCAGTTGCCTGAACATACATGTCTAGTGTCATCTGAGATGCCCTGGGCCATCCTAGACAGTTTTTAACTGCAGATCCAGAATAACATCAAGTCTGCAGACCCCATCTGGATATCTGGGATTCCCTGTGTGTCTCAAATGACACCAGCTACCAATGCTCAGAAATGCAAATTAACCCCTAGAAGTTTATGCTTAAGGTGTCCAAGTCTAGCTGAGGTGAATCCTACTCCAATTTTATCACAATGTTCTCTAAAGAGCTCTTTCCATTGTTCTGGATGAAATCTTTTTCCTTATTCAATGGAGTTGTCTGAACACAAGTAACTCCTTGTTGAAAGATAGAGTGAGAAAAAAGTCTTTAAGCACTTCAGATTTTGGAGTGAGGTCCATTCCTATATCTCCTTCTTTCTTCAGTTTCAGATAGCCCCTTTCCTTGACCTTTCTTGGATGGTGGAGTGGTGCTGTGCCAGCAGGCATCATGCTGTATTGTGGGAGAACAGGGAAGACGCCTGTCCGGCTCCTTCTGCCTAGCTTCTCAACAGCACGAGGGGTACACATGGATCCCAGTGCTTGCATGCAGGGTCAGGAGAAATAGAAACAGGGGAATATTTTATCTACTAGGAGCTTCATATGTCAATGCCCCAAGGACTTGCCAACTCCTGTAATTAGATACTGAGTCATGAATGGGGCAAGAGTGGGGAAAATGACTGTGCTGAAGTCTTTTCATTTCTCCAAGTTGTTCATCACTGTAGATTGTACTAAGCCTGTACTAGGCCCTGTACTGGGGTACCTGCTGTTTGCTAATCTCAGGAAAGACCAGTTAAAAGGAATGTTTGCAAGAATAACTTATCTGGTATTGCTTTGGGGTTTCAGGTGTTCCAGAACCATCCCCAGTCCGAATGGTGAATGGTTCAAATTCTTGCTCTGGGAGAGTCGAGGTGTTTCATGATCAGCAGTGGGGAACCATCTGTGATGACAGCTGGGATTTAGCAGATGCAGATGCTGTCTGCAGGCAGCTGGGCTGTGGCACAGCAGTCTCAGCCCCTGGCTCTGCTCGATTTGGACAAGGGACTGGGCAGATTTGGCTGGATGATGTGAACTGTGCAGGGGCTGAAACTGCCCTCTCTGATTGCCGGGCACGGCCTTGGGGAGACCACAACTGCAACCATGGAGAAGATGCTGGTGTGGAGTGCTCAGGTACCATTAATTCATGCCATTTAATGTGGTGTGTGATGAGGGCTATGTTTGTGGGAGGGGTGCTTGTGGCCCTGCTTATGTTGCCCTTGAGTGCAATAAGAGGAGTGAATTCAGTGCTATTTTAGACCTTTTAGGGGATCCAAGACATCTGCATGGTGCTGGGGAATATGATAGAGGACCTATAGAAGACCTGTGCTCCTCTGGAGCAGTGAATGGAAGTCAGGCAAAATAACTGGGCTCCTAAAATGGACGTGTGTGTTTAGGTAGATGAATCCTATCTGCAGTGTGAGACAAGATGGGAGAGGGCAGACTCGTGTGCTACAGAGTGTTGTCAGTGGGTGATGTTCTGAAGGGTTGTGTTGAGTAATGAGGTAAAGGGCACTCTCCACTCGAAATCATGGCTGACATCACTGTACAGTGTCGTGGCAGAGAGACCTGTGCCACAGTGACTGGGGAATATTGCTGGGAAGGTATTGTGTGGAGGAAAAGTTCTCTGAGGGCACAGACTGCCTTGGCCTTTCTGGACCACTAAAAGAAATTGGAGTATTGTATTCATTGAAAGCACTGGCCATTATCTGCTGCTAATCCTGGGACCCTTAGGCATGAGCTCAATTTGTAACGCTTTCTCCAGTACCAATTTGCAGCAGGTACAAATGGATTTTGAGATGCTGTCACTTCATCCAAATAGCACTCCATGTTTGATGCTCTGGTGATCTACATCGATGTCACAACTTTTTTGTCACCAGACGCCTGGGAGGAGCCATGTTCCCCCCCCCCCCCCCCTCCACAAAGCTCTGCGAAGCATGAGAAGCATGCGAAGCTCCCTGAGCATTTTTACTGTTGCTTTGTGTTTTGGTCCAGGCATTGCAAAACCAGCTCCTGTCCGGCTTGTGAATGGCCCAAGTCACTGCACTGGGAGAGTCGAGGTGTTTCGGGATCAGCAGTGGGGAACTGTGTGTGATGATGGCTGGGATCTAGCTGAAGCCAGCGTTGTGTGCAGGCAGCTGGGCTGTGGGAAGGCACAGTCAGCCCCTGGCTCAGCTCATTTTGGACAAGGCCCTGACCCCATCTGGCTGGATGACGTGGATTGTTTGGGGAGCGAAGCTGCCCTCTCAGAGTGTAGGGCCCGGTCTTGGGGATCCCATAACTGCAATCATGGAGAAGACGCTGGTGTGGTGTGCTCAGGTAATCCCCATCTATGTCTCAGTCTGGATGGTATTGGGGAACATGGAGAAATGGTTTTCCTCCTCCATGGAAAGTCATCGCAGAGCTCGTACTGCTCCTAGTTTGTGCCGTTAACCATTGAGGTGTTTAAACCTGTTCTCAGGAAATTTATATGGACCTCATACTCTGGCCATGGCCAGCAATCACCACTGGAGGCTGATCCAGAACTGTAGAACTTCTCCAGGGCTGGACACATCCCAGAAATATCCCATTGCTGGTGGGGTACAGAACTGTGGTTTCATAATAACAGAGTTGTCTCTGAGACTCATAGTATTACAGTGTCTCTCGCAGTCTGCAGTCCTGATGAAATCTCTTGCTTCGTTTAAGTAATTGGAAGGCTCATAGAATCATAAAATAATTCAGTATTTAAGGGCCCTCAGGAGGTTTCTAGTCCAATCTCCAGCTCAAAGCAAGGTTAGCTGTGAGGTCAGACAAGTAGGGCTTTATGCAGCCTGGTTTTCAAAACATCATGACAGTCAGCAGGTATGGCTCTCATATGTACCTCTCTCCCAGACAACCCTAATGGTTTGTTAAAATTGAGCTGTCCTGTTTTCTCAACTTTTAGCCTTTTTTAAATACTTCTGGGATGTCAGAAAGTGAGAAACTATCAGAACTTTCCTGTAGTCCCTGGTTCCTTCTATTAAGTGCTTTGGAAAACTTCAGGAGAACTTGAAGCTTTTCCAATAGGAGTCATCTTCCCTAACCTAAACACAGCAATGTACCCATCTGCAAATGAGCTGATTGTGCAGCCTCCCTCTACTGCCAGGCTCCTCTAGAGACCAGTTTACCTAGACTGTCTTGGATGATGAGAGACCCTTGACGCCAGGTATGGGTGGTACAGCCCCAGAACGCTGCCTGGAGGGGGAAATTCCTTGCACAACTTGGGCTGTAACCTCCCCACAGGATAGTATCTCCCAGAGACAGTCACAGCATCTGTAAGGAGTACAGCAGCTGCAATATGGCAAAGAACAGCTCTGCTTCCCCACAGCCCTCAAATACTTGTCTCTGAAGACTTACTCATGTGGGGGATAGCATTACAAATAACATGGTAAATAAATATAGCAGTAACTGGAGTAAAATGTGGAGCCAGAACTGTGTCCAAAGGAAGTTTCTGAGACTCAAGAAGTGGCCAGCCTGTTCACTGATGGACATTATGAAGCTTCATGCATGTGACCCGATTTATTTAGGAATGAGTCATGTTCCTGATCATAGGTACCTAATGCCTTAGACACCTAAGGGTATGCAGACATCTACATGGGGCTGGCAGATACAACCCAGGAGATACAGGAGACCAACACCCTTCTGACACAACATCTGGAGTCCAGCAAGGATACCCCAAAGTATTGCAAAATGAAAAGGATACCTATGCAGAGGCACCCGAATTACTCCTTTTGTATAGGATTCATCTACAATGTCTTTAGACAATGTTAGATTTGGAATTCAGATCTTGTCACAGCAAGGGTCTTGGGACACTATAGCATCATCTGAAATGTGCCTGCTAGAAAGGGATGAATTAGCACATCCTTTCGTCTGGGAGAGTAAGATACCAGTCTCAGTTCTAATACAAACAATTCTGCAAGTCTGCAGGCAGCACAGAGTTACATAGAGAGTTTTGAGTAACCCTCTAGGGAGCTCTCCCCACATAAAATGTCCTCTTTACCCAGCCTCTCTTTATCCATGTGACACCTTTGTTGGCACTAGACTCCCACGATTTGTCTACTGTCAGTAGGGTTCAGGTGCAGGAAATTTATGTGTGTGTTTACCCTTTTGGGTTACTTTTTGTGCAGGCACTCCAGAACTAGCTCCACTCCGGCTGGTGAATGGCCCAACTCGCTGTGCTGGGAGAGTTGAGGTGCTTCATGGCCAGCAGTGGGGAACAGTATGCGATGACAGCTGGGATCTGAGTGACGCTGCAGTGGTGTGCAGGCAGCTGGGCTGTGGGATGGCCATATCAGCTCCAGGCTCAGCTTATTTTGGGCGAGGTTTTGGCCGTATCTGGCTGGACGATGTGAAATGCTCCAGTAGAGAATCTGCCCTCTCCGAGTGTGCAGCAAGGCTTTGGGGAGTCCATAACTGCAACCATGGAGAAGATGCAGGTGTTGTGTGCTCAGGTAACCTTCATCCGTATCCCATCTTACTAGGCGTTAGTAGATACTAAATTTCTAGGATAAATGTTGGGGCTGATGGCTCTTCATCCTTTCTTGGTCTAACCTCCATGTCTCAGACTAGTACTAGTGCGTGATGATGATGAAGGTGTGGAGCTGGAGCTTGGGGTTTAGAGGGATGATCCCCATCTCTCCACATGGCAGTTCATTTTTCCTATCTGTATTCTTTTTAATATCATGGGAATATTATATTCATACTACTAACTTTCAATTAACTACCTGTCAGTGGCTTTGCAGGATAGAAGAGACTACTTTTACAGGTCTGGGTTGCCTACATTTCCTTCCAGGCGGCATCTAAACCTCACAGATATTCCAGAGTGGAGAAGAGAGATGTAATTGCCAGCCAGTATGTGTATAACCTTCATTCAGCCCAAAGAAAAGCAATTTTTGAAGTTCAGAGAACATACAGCATAGAAGCAAATAACTGAGGCCTAGATCCATCACACTCAACTGCAGCCACCTAACTGATGTGTCTCAATTAGAAGCATGTTTCCCTGGAAGCCCACCCAATCAATGAAGAGAGATAGGCGCTTGCACAGGGCAAGTCAGCCCAATCGTCTTCCGAATCACCTCAGAGTTGACTCTCTCACTCACCTCACCATAGAGGGAAACTAGAGTGGCACTGTGTCTAATTCAACTATTTCTGTGGATGCCTGCAGTGGGGTGGACATGGTCCCACTGACCCTGGTTCATGTTGCATGACAGGCTTCCAGGCATCTTCTCTCAAGGTTAGAGGGAACATTTTGGGAACACTACCAGGCACTTGAAGTCAACTTGAATCTCTGTGACTTCTCACATTAGCAGGCCTTTCCTGCTCATTAGTTAAGTGGTCTCAATGCTAGTTCATCATTTCCTGGTGATATTATCCTTAGTCCATAAAAGTTGTCTTGTGCTGATTGTAAGGATGCGTTAAATAAGCACCTGGTTTTTGTTGTTGTATTGACTCAGACAGTCTGAGATTCCCTTAGGTAGCCAGCATCCTCCTCTCCAGAAGATGTTTAGCTATGGCAGTAAACTCTCACTGAGAGAGCTTTCTCTCTGATACATTCAACAGACTGAACCTCATGGTCCTCAGGGAACATTCCCTCCAAACCTTGAAATGTTTCTGTGCTTTTTCTCACCTCCCATCATGATCAAGATCATGACCAACTTCATCTTATTTCTACTCTCCCCAGGGTGACATCGGACTGGCATCTTCTGACAGCAGGTCATCCGAGCTGTTTCAGACCTGCCTTATGATGGTAGTGTCTTTCAGGTGGAGGCAGAAGAAAGGAGCCAGTCATTTGTCCTGGCTGTAACCATTTGAGTTGGCCAGCCAATTTTGAGACTACGAAATTAGAGCAAAGGAAACACATCTTACGGTTCAATATTGGGCTGAAAACCTTAGCTCTTTGCTTCGCTGAAATAAAGCATTTGTGTTGTGCTGACATGCATAAAGCATATTGTTTTTTGGAAAGCAACAAATCACGGTACAGCTATGTTGAAGGCTAAAATTCATTTAGGCATCCTAACAATGGGAAATTGTCCACTTGTAAAGTGCCAGCTTTGCTCTGTGGGAGAAGAAGGAAGGAAAAGGGGCAAACTGTTCCCTTGAGGGGTGGGGGGAAGGTCTCTCTCATCCCCTCTAGGGAGGAACAGAAAAACCTTCAGGAACAAGCACATGCTGTGCAGTGTCCAATACCCTCTCCAAGGCTCATATGACTCTTCTTCTTGCTACCAGTCTGAATGAGTAGAGGTAAATATTTCTCAGCAGAGATTTTATAGATACTTCCATACCATTGATATGAATATTCTTCATGCTGGATCAAGAGCTCACTGCCAGGTATATGCTCAGACATGAGCTTGAACTCATCCAGTCCCATAAGAAATTGATAAGTCAGCCAGTTCTTCAGTTTTAGGGGAACTTTATTGGTACTTTGTGGCGATTGCTTTTCAGTGGGAATAATTCATGCAACTTGGTTTTCAATCAATGCAGTTATAACCAAGTTTGGAGTTCCTTCAAGGCATGAGAGAGAACAATTTTGCCAAGTCATAGATCCCATCATGCCACACTGATGGTTCTGTAACATCCCTCCCCTTTGCCCTCTCAGCTGAGTCTTGCTGGCTCATCTCCTGCTGCAAGGTAGGCATGGTCTGGTGGGGCCAGTGTGGCTCTCACGATGCTTCCAGCTCCTCCAGGTTCTTGTTAGCTACAGAGAAAGGGAGCATGGTAAAGTGAAATCTGCTCTCAGGAACTTTCTGACCCCAGGTTTTTCAGTTATTAGTGACCTGGACTCTACTCCCGAAGAAGGTCTGTGGGTTAGATGATACCCATATGTTTGGGGCTGTTGACAAAGAGAATGCTGGATACCTGAGCCTTGGACAGGGTCTGGGGGGAGGGGAGAGGCATAAAATGGCCATGTGAAGACTAGGATCTGAGCCTGAGTCACAGTCGCCCTGACAGCACAACCCAGAGCAGCATGCAGGTGAAAGCTTGTATGTCCACCACACACCCCCACAGCGCTGCCTCCCCGTAATGAAACCAGCTGAGGGCCACCAGGGATTCTACACTTCACTCATGCAGGGCTTGTCCAAGCTCCTAGCATATGAAAAGTCAGAAGTTGCGCTGACAGGGGACTTAAGAGAGTCTAGCTGAGACATTTTGTGACTATAGATGATATTCTAATACAGACTGGCATCCCTCCCCAGGCACCCTTCTCCCAGCTGTCCCCCACCTGCTCTGCCTCCCACAGGTGCTTGTCGTTACCTCCTTCCCCAGAAGCTGCTCTGTCTTCCTTCTTTCTGCCCTTCAGGAGCCTTGCCATATACAAAACTCCTTTCTCAGGATCTCTCCAGCAGGACCCATCCCACAGTCAGATTGTCACTCATGTGTTTGATTCTGCTCAGCTGATGTCCCTCTCCCACCAGCCGTTCCCTCACACCCACCACAGCCATCCTAAACAGATAATCCATCCTCCATATGGCTCCTTCCTGCACCCATTTCCCTGTCTCCATCAGCATCACCCTAAGAGGAGGAACGTTCCTCCTTTGTGATGCCTCTTTTGCCCCCTGCAGTCCAGCCTGCTGGCTCTGTCAACAGTGTCTGATGCTGCTCTCACAACACTTCAGATGCCAAAGCAATGGGCAGTTACCTGCACAAATAACATCAGCATCTTCTCCATGATAGCAATTGTGTTCACCCCACGGCCTGGCCTGACAGTCGAAGATGCTCTCTTCCGTCCCGGTGCAGTTCACATCGTCCAGCCAGATGATGTCCGACCCTCGTCCAAAGCGGGCACCTCCCAGGGCTGACAGCGGTGACCCACAGCCAACCTGCTTGCATACTACCTTGGCGTCCTGCATGTCCCAGTGGTCATCACAGATGCTGCCCCACCGGTCCTCATGGAGCACTTCAACTCTCCCAGCACACTTGTTCGGGCCATTCATCAGCCGGATCGGCCCTAGCTCAGGAACATCTACCTCTGCACATATCCCAGGAAAAGAAATGCTTAGGGAGGTTCCTGTGTGTCCCATCATCCGCGGAAAGCATGCCTACCCAGAGGAGGCTTTACTGCCTCACCAAAGATATGCCAAAGGGTCCCTTTTCATTGCATCCAGCTTTCTCTGGGGAGGGAAGGAAGACAGAAAACCCAAGGGGGGAAGCTATGAGGAAAGGGCGGGTAGAAGCATTCTCAGTGTTCATGGAGTCTATTGATCACAATTACCCTTCATGCCCAGAGAGGGAGCAAGGGACCACAGTGATCTCAGGTGGGAGAAGATTTAATGTTGCCCTAGGCACAGCAGCATTTCCAGCTCAGCTGCTTGCCACTGCCCTGTGTCCTGGGTCAGCACTGCACTGGCCCATTGAGTCAGTTATGCACTGAATCATTAGGTCAGCACTAGAGTGGCTCTCTGGATCAGCATTGCACTGGGTCAGCTGGGCATGAGGTCATTGCATTGATACTGCACTGGGTCAGTTCTGCACTGGGTCATCATGGCTATATCTGTGTGTCACCACTGTGTCATTAGGTGAGCAATGCATTGCCTAACAGGACTTGCACTATGTGATAGGATGACTTCAAGAGCTGAGGCCCCTCTCTGATCCCATGAGAAGACATATATAGAGTTGCACCGGTCCTTGGAACCTGCCCTCATTTGGGCAGGGAGCATATGCATTGTGGGATCCACCCACCTGACTCCCCAGCATATGGAGAATGGGGGGGGGGGGTAACCGAAACCCCCCAC